TTGTACGTCATAATCATGTCTCACTCTGTGTTTCTGCCATTATTTCATGATTTATTGCCTTTAGTCTTTCTCTGTATGTCATTCCTCTTGGCTCCGGCACTATTCTCATAGAAATCTCCGGAATTTCTGTAGTTTCTAGTTATGTTTACGCAGTTGTGGGCTCCAATCTGGTGCTGTGTACTCTGTGTTAGACCTGATGTATTTCATGTTCAGGCTCTGAAGAATTCTTTTCTTGAGGTAAATGAATAACGCTCTTTAGTTTGCCATACGCACATACGTTACCCTGGTTTTTCAACTGATGGGCACCTCCAGTAACATGCTTGAAATAATGTCTTCCTAGACCCTTTTTTTCCTTCTGTTTACAGAATGTGTACCTTATCCGCCCGTCTTTAAAGTGTTGAGTTTTCATAACCCTGTACTTGTTGGGGACGAAAAAGTACCCATTTGTCTGACCATTCCTATAGATTGTCCAAATCTTGTAACTGTCCTTTGCCTTCTCACGTATTTATTCTCCTTTAAACCCACACTTGATGCCTCTCCAAGTGTTCCAGTAGTCATTTTTTTTATTATTTACTGTATTGCCTTGGTATAGACATAATAAGTATCAGAATATATTTCTGAGTTGTTTAATTATCTCCTTTTTTAAATATTGAGACGACATTTCCTTTTTCAAGATTTCCTGGAGGTACCATCCTTTCATTAACTTGAAAATGGTCTATAGTTCTTCATTTATTCACTGTTCCTGCTCTTTCTTTCAGAAAATAAGGAAACTCACTTTTAGTTCCTGTTTTTTGACTTGTCCAACTTGCTTTCCAGCTTCTTAATTTCATCCTTTGTTGTCTCTGCCGCTTTCCAACATCATCCTCATTAAAGGACTACTTGAAACACTTGTGTACTTCCTCGGAGTCTTTTTCATTACTCATCACCTCTTTATACTTCATACTTGCTATCACTTGATCCTCCACAATCATCTTCCGTCCATTTGATGCGCTATATAGCAGTTTTGGTTTTGATTTTTTTTTTTTTGCCATTATATCTTCATCATATTGCCGCTCCGCTTATCTGGCTCTTCTGTTCGCTTCTCTTTGTCTTCCATCGTTTTCATTCTGCATATTTTCAGTATATGTGTTTTGTTTTCTTTCTGCATATGTTAGCAAATCCTTGGTCTTTCTTGATTTTTCCCACTTCTTTTGCTCCTTTTGGGTATAAATGTCTCATTTCCCGAAAGACACGCAATCGTCTCTTCCATTGTCTGTCCTTACAATTATCCTCCTTGTGCTGCTATGGGACTTGTGTGTCCTCACCTAGCTCCGGGTGGTGTCTCTTTACTATTATCAACCTACTTTACCGATTGCTGGCCTCCTGTACCTAATCACATCTACTCCGAAAACTATTTATGGTGACCGGAGAGGTAAGGTAATACCGACAGTATGTAGATAAAGACACATATGCATTGTTCCAGACATGTATAGTCTTGAACTGTGCATATGTGTCTATATCTACTCTCTGCTTAAAGTGTCTGCTTCCACCTTTCCATCTAAATACTAGTGCATTCCATTTAATGCTCAGACACTGAAAAAGCATTTCCTGACATCCTTTGTCATTCGTTTACGTTTTTCTTTGCCCTGTGTGTTTTCTGGTTGCCTCCTATCGCATCTTAACCTGCATATCACTCTATACTATACCTAGTACCTTGATTAATTTGTTTTGTCATGATAGCGCATAACATAATTGTTGTATTATGATAAGGTCAATAAATCATGAATGAAGTATTAGATACATCGTATTTTGATTCATTTTTATTATAAGTTTTAATTATAGAGACACATTGTCTGAGTGTTCTGAAATGAAGAATTAAGAAGCAGTAAATATTTAAGGTCTCATACTATGTGCCTCCTTTTTTACTAGTCATTATGTTTTTTGAACTGGAAAAAAATGAAATTTTAATACGCACAATCTGACAAGCAAGTTTCTGCGTAAGTTGGCATTTGAAGTTATAGAAAAAGTGAATTTAAATGTAGTCTTCAGCCTCTCACAGCCTAAGTTCTCTGTGTAGGCTCCTCTTAATTCTTAATATCTGGGTCTTGCTCATGACCAGAAAGATGACAGTTCACTTCTACATGATTCCTCTTTCCTCTGGAGCCACTTGATGTTTTCTTTTGTTGTTTTCTTTTATTTGTCATGAAAAAAAATCACCTGACATGAGTCTGTCATAAGAAGACCTGTTCATTGATGCCTGCCCTATTGCTGGGTCGTGGAAAAAAAGCAATCGCTGGATGTCTGGTGATGTCTGAGGAAGGTTGGGTACTTGGTGTTAGAGCGAACCATGACAACAGCGAACATGTGTAACTATCATAGAATGTAGTAGTAGTATTGCTCATGTATTCACGTTGTTTAAAATAACAAAAGCCGCTGGCTTTCAGGTGCTGGATTCAGTGATCTGACGACCTGTATTTATTTAGCGATTTCTAGAAACCACTTTACCTCACCCTCTTTCAAGTTAAGCTTCCACTTAGCACCTCTCTACAAGCAACTGGACTTCAGTCTCTCATTGCATTGCTATCTGAATAAATTGCCTAGTTTACCGAGGCATTGTCTGAATTAATTATACCGCTTAGATGGGTTAATATAACAGAAAATGCATGCATAAGTTTGACAAAGTATATGAATCACAGCATAATGCAATCCTGTATTATTATTGTATGAAATTCCATTTCAGTTACGAGCAACTGTACTACCGAAGGAATTTATACGAGTTTGACTTGGTCAACTATGTGAAGGGAAGGAAACCTCAGCCCAAGAGTCACTGTAACCTGCTTGAGAAAGTGAAGGCGTGGCAGAAGTGATATGTTTTTAATTAAACCAAATTACATACATCAGCAGTGTGCTGCTATTCTATTCTATATGAATAGGATGGCTATGCTTCCCTATCATACTTCATGCAAGATGAATTTCATAGATAATGTTGAAATAAATCA